TCCCAGCAGCTTGGGAAGGCTGAGACTGGAGAATCGTGAGTTCAAAGCCAGCCTCAGCAACTTGGAGAAGACCTCAGCAATTTAGCAAGACCCTGTCTCAAAATAAAAAGTTAAAAAGGACTGGGGATGTGGCTTAGTGGTTAAGCGCCCCTGGATTCCATCCCTGGTATCACCTCCCCTGCAAAAAGAGTTGTATCAATTTACATTCCTGCCAGCAACATCTGAGAGAATGGCCTGTTTCTGCAGTCTCACCCAATGGGAGTGTTATTAAACATTCACAGTCTTGCTAGTCTGATGGATTAAGACTTCCTGTCTCAGCGTAGTTTTCATTTGTACATTTCTAATAAGAGGTCGAGCATATTTCTTCCTGTGTAAGAAACATTTTTTTTTTCCCCCTGTGAACTGTTTCTTCATATCCTTTGCTGGCTTCCTTTCAGGGCCACTGGACTCTTTCCTGTTTCTAGGAACTCTTTAGATGTTACCGAGATTCCTCTTTTGTCTGTGATAAGATTGCACATATTCTCCCCGTTTGGTCATTTATCCTCTACTTTGTTTTAAGGCAGTTTGGGCCAAGCAGAGGTTTTTGATCATAGAGTTTTTGATTAAGTAAATTTTGGGAAACACTTAGCCGACTTCCTGCCACCTGGTAGACACTGAATGGCTTTTATTTCTTTTCCCTTTCTTTGCCTACATGATTTATTCAAACTCAGCTCCTGATTCTTTCTTAAACATGGCTGGTGCTTCCCACTTCTGTGCATCACCTTATTTTTTTTTTCCCAATCTAGAAGAACTTCCTCCTAATTCTGGGTTCTAGAAACCCTACGCATCCATTTAAGCACCAGCTCAAAGGTCGCTTCCTCCTGAGACCTTCTGGAGTCCTTCTAGTCTTTCTTGCGTCTGCAAACCTGTTCCCCACCACAGTCCAACTTGGGTCCTAGTTGTTTGCAGGCATTTACATGCTTTTCTGAGCCTCCACTGCTTTATCTCTAAAATGGAGTTTCTGGGAAGGATACAGATTTATTTTCATTACAAAATAAATATATATTTATTCTTTACAATGCATATTTGTTGTTTAAAAAATTCCCAAAATATTGACATATGTAATGTTTAAAACTGTAGTTACCCACGCACAGGCACTCTCATCCCAAGGAGAAGCTACTGTTTCCAGATGTTTCTTTTGCATATATCAATGTCTAAGGCAGAGGGAGAAATTTTTCTTAAAACATAAAACCGGAAGCATATCATCCATATTATTCTGCAACTTACTTTTCTTAATCACTAAAGTAACATGGATAAGGGGACATATTTAAAGCATTTTGGCTCAGCTGGATGTGGTGGTGCATACCTGATTATAATACCAAGTACCTAGGAGGCTAAGGCAGGAGGATCACAAGTTTGAGTCCAGCCTGGGCAACATAGCAAGACCCCATCTCATATAATAGAAATATAAATAAATACAAATAGAGCAGTTGACTCAGTTTTCAATGAGTGGTAATGATAATGCTTCTACCTTATATTGATACCTTATAATGATATTTTCAACTTGTCTTTTAGCAGCAAAGACTCTTCAATAACAAAATAGTATTTGGAAACCTATGTTATTTATATCTCTATAAATTAGATGAAACTGCCAGGCAAGGGTGGAAGTGGTTGGGTTGGATAACCTGGAGCCCCTCACCGAGTGTCTCCACATCACCATTTGAAGATCTTAGTGTGGGGTCAGGGTATGGCACACTCTGTACATTTAACTGTGTGTCACAATTGTGGGTACACACTATGCAGGTTGTTTCCATGTGGGTCTGGGAGGTTCCATGTAGCTAGAATGGGAATTTTTTCTCCCCAAATTCATTGAAAGACTCCTGGAGTCTTTGGGTGAGAGCAGAACTTAGTGGATCCCCCTTGGCGTAGTATGCTGCTCTCTGCAATAGCCTTTTTTTTTTTTAAAGGTTTATATTTTAGTTGTAGGTGGACACAATACCTTTATTTTATTTTTATGTGGTGCTGAGGATCGAACCCAGTGCCTCACGCATGCTAGGCGAGCGCTCTACCTCTGAGCCATAATCCCAGCCCCCCCACCCCCACCCTGCAATGGACTTTTTATGGTCCACAAAGAGGCAAAGTGAAGTCAACGTGGTGAGATTTCCATAACGTTAAACTTATTCAAGTGTGTTTTGGGCATTGTGATGTCTTTTCTTTCATGAAATGATGGTGGTAATCATTGGTAGGTGTGCGTGTTTTAATATTACACCTAAATAAAACGTTGGCCATTTATGTTGGTCTCTCAGATTTGCTTCACAGTTTCACTAATCCATGAAATCCTGAGGTCTACAGATGACAGTTTGGGTCCATTCTGGCAGATTTGCCGGGACTTTCCTGGAACAATCCAGAGAGATAACAAGTTCCATCCTGTGCTGTATAAGTTTGGGGACCGCTATCCTCAGCTGAGATTGCAGCAGCTCTTCCAAAAAAGTCACCTTCTCATGGGGACTCTGCTCGCCTCTGTTGCCCCTGCTCTATTGTCCATAGGGGGATACTGCTTCTTTGGACCACCCTAGACCAAACAAGGCACCAGACTCTTCTCCTGATGCCCCACCACCTGACTGAGATCAGGATGAGACACGCAACCAAGACCTGGCTGAAGGCTTGTGGTTGGTTTAGGGAAGTGAGTGTAGAGATGGCACAAGGCCAGGTGACTGGGCTCACAGACCCCACGGCTCACAGTCTCCACCCTGGCCCACTGCCTCTGCCTTCTAAGCCGAGAGGGAAACAGCAGCCAGCTGGAGACCCCCGGGGGGCAGAGCCAAGAGCCTGCAGCCCTGCCCACTGCCCTCTCTCCCTGCCCACCTCAGAGGATGAGGCTGAGGTGAACCATTGGGATAGCAGCCTCTATGCAGGGAGAATCTGCCGGGAACCTTGATATTATTCCTGTTACTTAATTCTCCATCATGACAATAAATCAGGCTCAGACGACTCTGGTGGTGAAAACATGTTGATCCCAGATTAGGCACTTGGGTTTTTATATATAAGGATGCTCAGGCAGCAGTAACGAGTTTGCTTGTTTGAAATTATTTTTAATTTTTTTTTTTTTAGTCTCTTTATTCCCTTTAGATGAAGAAGACTTTTAAATGACTCAGTCACATTTTCTTATCTGGCTTGGCAAGAGGTATTTAGTACAAACTGTAACTAACCCTTTTTTTGTCCCTTTGTTCATGGACTTTAAAATTCCAGCATACTTTTCAAATTGTGACCATTTACTTGTTTTCACAAAATAACCACACGGTCTCCATGTGTTCTCAGTCCTCTCAACGGTCCAGGGAAAGGAATCTGGGGCTGGTGGGTTACAATTTATGAGACAAACAACTCAAAAAATTAAGACGTCAAAGGTCATGAGCAGAAAGTTTCCATACAAATAGGAAATAGATTGATGAACAAAATTTCAACCTCAGAATTAATTTTAAAATGGGAGATAAAATCAACTTTGAAGTGCCGTTTTGTGCTCATTCAAGGAACAAAGTACAAAAAAAAAGCAAAAACAGCAACGAAAACCTAACATGCTATGTGGTGAGGTTCTGCTCTACAAAGTGTGTTTGTATATTTTGATGTGATCCTTCCAGAAAGCAAAGCGCCGTGCATATTAGAGCCGTGAATGTTTGTAACCTTTGACACAGCCATTGTAGCCCAAGGGACTGAATTAATCCTAAAGTAGTAACCCTTTTCAAAATGTTTATTATTTAAAAAAATTGGAAACATGTAGAAAAGATGAGAATAGTCCAATGAATCCTCTGATAAATAAAAATGTTCATTATTTAAAATTTTCAAATATACAGAATGAAATAAAATAGTAAAGGAATATTTTAACAGAAAAAAAATCCTTATGTGTAAGAATGTCCACCGTGAAAAGTTTAAAGCAACTAAAGAATACTAGGCGACTATTTGAGAAAGTTGTGATTCATCTTCAGATAAAGTATCATGGAACAGTGAAAAATATGGAATCCCAATCCAGTGGCTTGGGAGGCTGAGGCAGGAGGATCAAGAATTCACAAAGCCAGCCTCAGCATCTTAGCAAGGGCCTAAGCAACTCAGTGAAACCCTGTCTTTAAGTAAAATATAAAAAGGGCTGGGGATGTGGCTCAGTGCTTCAATCCCCAGTACCAAAAAGGGAAAAAAAAAAAAAGTGGAATCCTGTAGAGTGTGATCTAATGTTAAGTGAAAAGATCAAGTTAACTTGTGTCTATGGATGATGATGATAGTGTAAAATCACTTATCTGAGCAAGGGTTGGGAGGAATAGGTGAAAGTGTTTGCTGGTTGGGTGGGGGATGATGCATTCATGTTTTTTTTTCCTGGAATATTGTTACTATATTATTTATAATAAAAATAAACATGATTCTACAACATGTACAATCAGAAAAATGAGAAATTATATCCCATTTATGTATGATATATTAAAGTGCATAAATATATTCTACTGTCATGTTAAACTAATTAAAACAAATTTTAAAATTTAAATAAATAAATAAGAGGGAGATCCTGGGCTCTGTCCCTGAATCCACCTGTGAATGGGTGCTCCACAGTTAATTCATATAAAGGGTGATATGACAAGTGGCAGGGGGTGAGCACAGGCACATAAGCGGGCTCTCAAGGACTCTGAGTATGTCAGAGCCACGTAGGAACAATCTGAGGCCTTCATTTTGTAGTCAAGGTCCTGAGGCACAGAGAGGCTGAGTGACCTGCCCAGAATAATCCAGCAAAAGCCTGGCTATTCCATATAGGGTGGGCGCTCCCCCAGAGATGGCGGGCCAGCCCTAGCTCAGTCCTTCTGTCTTGGGACACCTCCATGTTTAGGAGTTGGCCACAGGGCTGGGGAAAGGGCAGCCAAACCAAGAGCCGTCTTCCAATGTAAGGGCGGGAAGCCGGGTGGCCAGATGAGGGAGGGCGCAGAGAAGCTGCTCCTGGGATGTGACCCCTATGCCGTGGTTGTCTGTCTCCATAGGACCCTGAGTGGGCTCAGCCAAGTCCTCCCCTCCCAGCAGCACGTGGGGCTGTCCCGGACGGTCAGACGATACCCAGCCAGTGCTGCCAGCGGCCAGCTGACTTCCAATGCTCTGCCAGTGGGCCTGGGCCTGGAGCAGAGGGATGGTCCCCAGCAGGCAGCATCTCCGGGCCACCTCTTCTCTCCCTGGGGTAAGGCTGTCCTGCCTCGGGACCTAGAGGAACAGGAATCTAAATCTCCACCCCTCTTTACCCCACCTCTACTTCCTTCTCCACTCTCCCAGAGGAGTTGAATTGACACCTTGTCCGTCATTCTTTCAGTCAAAAAATAGTATGTGGGTACTTGCCCTGGGTTGACTCTAGGCTTGCCAAACCAGCTGGCCTGGACTTGGCCCCTGTGGAGACCCTGAGACCTTGGCTGCTCTATCTCTGCCTGTCCACCACCCTTCCTGGATCACGAGTCCTCCACATTTCCTCCTTGATGCCTTGCTGGTGGCTTCCCTACACGAACCAAATGTACCACATAAAGGGCCTGATCCTTGTTCCCGTAATCGGGCCCCCAAACCTGACTCTAATCATCCCTCAGGCCTTATCCTGCCCACTTCCTGTAGAAAGCCCTCCTTCCTGGCCCGCTTGAGCAACATTCCATTCCCTGCCGCTTGGTCCAAAGCCCCGCTGCTGCACTTGCTAGCTGTTGATGGGGGGCCACCTGGAAGTCTCTGAGCTTCCGTCCAACAGTTAAATGGAAATCTTAGGTTAAACGTCCCCAAACTGCCCATGCTCAGCCATTTTATCCTACACAAACAACAACTTCTAGTGGCTCTGCCTTAAAGCAATACCCATCACGAGGGTTGAGAGGTAAGGTGTACAGAGCTGTATCTGTGAACTTCCCAAAGGTTATCCTGCCCCCACCGTGGACCTGGCAACCCATAGGTACTCCGCAAATGCTCTTGGGGTGGATGTACCCCCTGTCCTGTGGGCCTTTCTCACCACGCTCTGGAGGTCACGGCTGTGCCTTTCAGCCCTGCCCCCTGGACCCAAGCCCTCTCTCTGCAGGGCAGAACCTCACAGAGAAAATCAAGAAGATCAAGATCGTCTTCACCCCCACCATCTGCAAGCAGACCTGTGCCCGCGGGCGCTGTGCCAACAGCTGTGAGCGGGGCGACACCACCACCCTGTATAGCCAGGGCGGCCATGGGCATGACCCCAAGTCCGGCTTCCGCATCTGTGAGTCTCTTCCCCCCACCCAGATGGTTCCTGGCTGGGCCTGGGGGACTGGGGTGCTAGAGGGACAGGCCTGCCATGGACCGGAGCCCAGTTCTCCCAAGGAAGGAAGCCCGTTGCTCTGTCCTGTGGCTCCATCCATTGTCCCAAGTCACAGGGAGGGCTGGCTGAGTCTTTACCCAGCCTGGCTGTGTGGCTCTAGGCAAATCACATAACCTCTCAGACCAAGTTACCTCCACAGAGAAATGAGGGAGTTCACCGTGGGGCCACTGCCTGGTGTCCTGGGTCATCATGGGGAGACATGGAAGGACTTTTTAGAAAGAAGGGCTGGTTACTTCTTCACTCTGGGGACTCAGTGGGTACTGGGCTCCCCTAGCCATCCCTATCTCCTGTCCTGCTCTGCCTGCTTCTCTCTTGTTTCCAGCAAGCAACATGGGGGGACCGGTGCCACTGTTCTCTTGTAGATTTCTGCCAGATCCCCTGCCTGAATGGAGGGCGCTGCATTGGCCGGGATGAATGCTGGTGCCCTGCCAACTCCACCGGGAAGTTCTGCCACCTGCCTGCCCCACAGCTGGAGAGGGAGACTTTGGAGAGGGGCTCCCGCCACAGGGCCCTGTTGGAAGGCCCCTTGAAGCAGTCCACCTTCACCCTGCCTCTCTCCAACCAGATGGGTGAGTGCAGCGCAGCGGGCGGCAAGCCTGGGAGGAGCCCCAGGTCGGGGCAGGCCACCTCGCTGTGCTGGCTGGAGACAGGGAAGCACCTCCAGGCCTTCCTTCCCTGTCAGTCCCCATTCTTTCTCCCCCACCGCAGGGCTCTGCTCCCTTCCCTACTCCTCTTTCCCTTCCATCTGAATTCCTCCCTGTGCTTTGGCATTTACCCTGTGCAAGGGAAGGCAAAGCAGTGTGAAGTCAGGGTCTGCCCTCAGGAATCCATGGAAATCTTAGGTTGGATGGGAAGGATGGATGGGAAGCAGAATTTCAATATGCAACTTTCCATTTTCCCTGTCTTTCATTAGCACCCTGCCTCCCAGAAAAATCTTAAAAAAAAAATAAATCAGCCAGGTACAATGGCACATGCCTGTAATCCCAGTGATTTGGGAAGCTGAGGCAGGAGGATCCAAAGTTCAAAGTCAGCCTCAGCAAATTAGTGAGGCCCTAAGCAACTCAGTGAGACCCTTTCTCTAAATAAAATTCAAAAAGGGCTGGGGATGTGGCTCAGTGGTTAAGTGCCCCTGGGTTCATTCCCTAGTACCAAAAAAAAAAAAAAAAAATCCCCCCAAATAAAAACAAAACAGAACAGAGTTCTAGAGTCAGAGATGGAGCGGCCCTTGAGCCCAGAGTGCTCTGGAGAGGCTGTGTGGAGGGAATGACAATCAGTTAGCCCTCTACCGACAGGCAGCATCTGGTTCAGCAGGGGGGAGGGATTGGTGTTAGCAAGGCATGGAGGTGGGACCAGGTAGCGGCCTTGGCTAGAGGTCAGGGCTGCACAGTGTTGGGGATGTGGGGTCAGGAAGGAAAACTTCTTGAAGTTCCTTCTGCCAAGGAGTTGCCATTCCATCCTGTCTTCAAGGGCGGGGGTGCTGGCGGAGGTGGTTGCTCTGGGGTTCCTAATTGCAAGCAAAGAAATGGAAAGGGAGTTTTGGGAAAGCACACGCCAGTGACCAGCCTGGCTCAGGGCTGTGGGCACTCTTAAGTGGGTGGGGCAGTGCAGGCGGGACCCCGCTTCTCAACTCTGAACCCCACTCTGTGCCCAGCTTCTGTGAACCCCTCATTGGTGAAGGTGCACATCCAGCACCCGCCTGAGGCCTCCGTGCAGATCCACCAGGTGGCGCGGGTGAGGGGAGAGGCAGACGTGACACTGGAGGAGAACAGCGTGGAGGCCAGAGGTCAACCCCAGCTCCCCTCGGGCCCAGGCCACAGCCACTGGGACAGCAACAGCATCCCTGCTCGGTCTGGAGAGCCCCCTCGGGTGCCCCCCGCAGTGCTGCCTAGGCATCAGGGACTGCTGGGCCGGTGCTACCTGAGCTCTGTGAACGGACAGGTAAGGACGCAGCTGCTGCCTCATCCCTGTCTTCCAGGACAGCAGTGGCCCTCCACCCTGCCCTCCATCCTCTTCTTTCTCCTCCTTGTTTTGTGGAATGTGTCCTTAGAGTCTCCCATTTCCCAGATGGGAAACCCAGGGTACAAAATTATCTGCCTCTGTAGAAGCTGGCCTCCTTCTTGGTCTCCACTTGGTACCTGTCAGTCCCCAGGCATGCAGAAGAGGACCTGGGAGACCCCTGCTGAGGAGCTGTCACCAGCATCCTCAGGCAAACTAGAGTTTGGTGCCAGAACATCCTGGGATCTCTGAGAGCTGAGCCTAGGACCCTGCAGCTCATGGGCAATAGGGCTGTTAGGGTCTGGCAGGGAGTTTGCCCTCTTGGTCTTCATGGGTCACAGAAGTATGGAGGTAGTGAATGCAGGTTACACGCCAAAACCCTGGTGGTGCCAAGATGAGAGGCGCTCCATTTCCCCTGGAAGAGATGCTAGGAGGTTAGACCTGGGGTGGTTTTTCTTGAGGTTGCAGCTGTTTCTGAGGATACAGGAGCTGAGCAGGTGGAGAGCTAAGGATAAGGACCTGAGCCTCAGATCCTTCCTGGCCCCCCAGCCTGTGGTGTTACTGAGCCTGGCCCTGCTCACAGGGTGGGGGGCCCCAGAGTTCCATGGAGGTGCTTGGAGGAAAGCCCATTCCTTCTTTGGGACTCTCAGTCTATGCAGACCTGCCCGGGCAGGATCTTGTGTCTATAGTGTGCCCCCCCACCGATACCTGGTTAGTGGCTAGCAGGGTGGACCCGGGCTTCCTTTCTCCTGGGCCCCCTGGCTGTGCTCCTCCCTCTCCCCTCCCCCACAGTGGGGCGTCCTCTGGAGGTGAGCGTTCTGAATCCTGGGCTTTCCTGGTACAGCTGTGTGCATAGCCAGGGAGGGAAGTGGAGGCCCACAGGTGTATCCATGGCCTCTTTTCCAGTGTGCCAATCCTCTGCTGGAGCTGACTGCCCAGGAGGACTGCTGTGGCAGCGTGGGAGCCTTCTGGGGGGTCTCCTCCTGTGTTCCGTGCCCACCTAGACCAGGTGAGTGCTGCTGCCAAGGTCAGGGGGTGTGGGAAATCTCTCCCAGGGCCTGGCCTCTCCTGCAGGACATGCCCTTGACCACCTCTGGCCCCAGGCAGTGAACAGGCTGGTAAGCCTGCAGGCTTTCCAGATCGCCTTGAGGGAGCTTCTGGCCAGTGCTCAAGAATCCAGACAGCTCGGCCAGCCCAGCCCCTCTGCCCAGGAAACCTGGCCCATGGCTGTCTGCCTGTGAGGGGCTCCTCCTTCTTGCCTGGTGCTGGGCCCCCTCCACCTACTCCCTCCCTATGCCCTTGCCCAAGCACCAGGGGCCCAGAGTTTTGATTTGCTGACCCAATGTTTTCCTCATTTTCTCCTTGGAAGGACCCCGAGGCCTCATCCTCACTCATCTCTGTTTCCATTTCCCATTCTCTGAACAGGGGTTGATTGTCTGTCCCAGAATGTCCTTAGTATTTTTTTGTTTTTTTTGTTTGTTGGTTCTGGGGATTGAACCCAGGGGCACTTTATCACTGAGCTACATCCCTTTTTTATTTTGAGACAGGGTCATGCTAAGTTGCTTAGGGCCTTACAAAGTTGCTGAGGCTGGCCTCAAACTTGTGATCCTTCTGTCTCAGCCTCTGGAGTCACTGGGATGACAGGCATGTACTGCCATGCCTGGCTCCTGCCCTCTTCTAAATGGTAAAAAAGCCCAACATACATTCACTCAGCAAATACCCCTGGGTACCCCATGTGCCAGGCACTGAGACTCAGGAGTGAGCAAAACGCCCGTCGGTACTTGCTCTTGTGGGTGTTGGTACGACATCTGGGAGAGGTGACAGGTACCTGTGGCTGGGCTGGCTGCTGCCTGCTTGGGCTGGCTGCCCCTCGGGGCCTCATTCCTTGGCCTGGGCCTGGTGTGTATTGCTTTGGCCTGTCAGCATTCAGCTTGGTGAGTGTGTTTTGAGGGGGGCCTGGAGTGAAGCCCAAAGGTGGGAGAGGCAGGGCTGTTTGCAGCATGAGACTCAGCAGTGGAGCAGTGGATACATTTTCCAAACTAAAAACAAGCGCAGACGGCTTCCCAGTGTGATAGAAATTTTAGGGAGGCTGCAAAGGTTAACATTCAGATCTCAGTGTCCCCCCTGACTGCCCCGGCTCTGCCCACCAGCCTCTCCCTGCTCCATCTGCTCATCTGTGAAGACAGGCTAGTGCCAGGCTTGGGGTCTGCTGTGAAGGCTTAACAGAAAGGAAGCATGTGCTCGGCACTCTGGTGAGCACTCGGCACTCGGTTGGGCACATGGCAGCTACGCCACTCGGCCCTGCGTGTCTGCGGGTTCTGCATCTGCAGGTTCAACCAACCACAGGTTGAAACTATTTGGAAAAAAACCCCAAAGGGTTGGGGTGTACCTCAGTGGTACAGGGCTTGCCTAGCTGTTAGACCAGGACGCAAGAAAAGACCACTGACTCCAATTAAAATCAAATTAAAGCAAGCTTATTATTTCGACCGGCCGGGCTGCCTTTCCCTCCCAAAACGGTGGGAACAAGACAGCCCCGAGGCTTCTTTGTGGCCCAGTTTTATAGCCCAAAAAGTTACACAAAGGGGGTTACA